GACAATGGGCACAACAACAATGGGGGCCAGGGCGCTAACACGAAGGACAATGGGGACAACAACAATGGGGGCCAGGGCGCTGACACAAATGATGATAATAAGAATAGTGGCAACGGGGGCCAGGGCGCTGACGCCAACGACGGCAACCCGAGCGAGCCCAGTGACCCAAATAACCACGGCGGCAGCGAGAGCGACGCGCGTAACGAGCAAGGTGATAACGAAGACCGCAGCCCGGGCGGCGACGATGAGGAGCAAACGGACGGGCAGCATCGGGAGCAAACGGACGGGCAGCATCGGGAGCAAACGGACGAGCAGCATCCGGAGCAAACGGACGAGCAGCATCCGGAGCGAGCGGGCTCTCCCGCCGGCAAAACGGCGCCGGAGGACGGAGCGCGGCGGCGGCCGGAGGAGCGCGGCGGCGGTGCCGACGGCCCGGCCGCCCTTCCCAAGGAGCGCTCCGAGAACAGCCACTTCTTCGCCTACCTGGTGACCACGGCCGTGGTGGTGGCCGCCTTGTACGTGGCCTATCACAACAAGCGCAAGGTGAGCGGCCCCGCGCCGTCCCCTGCGGATGGGTTTTGGGCACCCCGTGAGAAAACGCTGATTTGGGTCATTTTGGCTTTTTTTTTTTTTTCTCCCCAAGATCATCGCCTTCGCCCTGGAAGGGAAAAGATCGAAAGTTGGTCGACGGCCCAAGTCTGGCGACTACCAGAGGCTGGATCAGAAGGTGAGAGGCGCCCTGGAGCGCGGCRGGAAGGGGCTGCGGGCGCCTCGGGAAGAGGATTTATCTGGGAGATTGGCGGCACCGCGTGAAAGGGCCCTTAAAAAAGGAGCTCGGAGGGTTTTTCTTCCTCTGAAACCTCCCTCCCCGGCTGCGTTGGGGCGTCTGGCTCTTCCTGGGGCTGTTTCCTGCCACGCGCACAGGCAGCTGCAGGGGAAGGAAGTAAAAGTCACTCGGGGTCACTGAGTCTTTCAGCAGCCTCGCGGTGCCTGAGGATGATGATTTTCCCCCCAAAAAACCCCACCGAGGCGGCATCAACCTCGGCCCCGTGGGGGCTGCACCTGGGAATTTGGTTCTTCCCCTTTCGGAGCTTTGTAGGAGGCGTTGGAGCGCTGCAGACGACCCGGCCGCTCGAAGCTTCCCACTTATCGTGCGGGTATTTTAGGAATATTTGGGTATTTCCCTCAGGAATCCCCCGCTTCGACCCAGAGGCAGCCGCAGAGTTAGAGCGAGAAGCGTGCGAGACCACGCGGAGCTTCCCGTGGCTTTAATTCCCCTTTTATCCCCTTCCAGCTCTAGATTCCTCTTCGGCTGCCCCCGTGCTCTGCTCCGCAAGGAAGTTGGCCTGCACTGAAAACGGGAAACGCCGGGAAACCCGTGCCCTTCCCGGCTCGACAAAGCGCTTCGAGCCCTTGCGCCGCTGCCGCGATCCCGTCCGGGAGCCGCAAAGAGGGGAAACCGCTTCCGACGGGACACCTGCACCTTGGTACCATTAAACCTCTCCCTTCCTCGGCGTGGTTCCCCCTTCCCCAGCGCGCCGGGACAAACTAGGTGTCTAGTTTTTGCAGCCTTGCCTTCCGCTCTGGGACCCAAACAGCCAAATTCCAGCGCTTGACTGAACTTCTGCATCCAAACGCAACGGAATTTGCCACCTACTCTACTGATAATCTCTTCTGATATCTCTGCTTTTGCCGCGGGGGGAATATCTGCTGTGAAATGAGCCAGCGGACTCTCCTTTTAGGGGTTCAGGGTTGTCTTTGCAGCCGTCGGGGTCTCAGCCGAGCTGCCGCCGCTCTCTCCTTCGGCCCCTCGGATCCGGTGCGGGACGCTCGTAGCGTAGCCAGTTGCACTAGGTGGAAACCGTCTCCCGATGGGTGGTTTTGGTCTGTTTTCTGGGTGGTTTKCCCGCTGTGATGAAGCCAGTGTCAGTTTGGCCCCTAGGTTCTCTGGAGCCACCCTTCGGGTGCGGCTTGAGCTTCCGAAACGCCGTATCCAAGCCCCGGCATATCCAGTGCCAGCCCTTCCCTACGGCAATGAAGGAGCCCCCGGCTCGATGTCGAGCTTGCCACAAGCGGCGCTTCAGAGSGCCGTTTCCTGCTGAAAAAGTGCCCTTTCCTCGCCATTCCTGGTGGGAATCCCTTCTCCCAGCCCTGTGCTCGGACAAGTTTTGCATAGTCCGAGCGTACAAATCCCCAGCCCTTGGCCTGCCGAGYGCCAGGCTGGGATTTGGCAGCGCTGGCGGCGTTTGGGGCCGCACAACGCGGCGATTCCCGCCTTGGAGCCGTCACCCCGCGTTCATCCTCGTCGGCTCATCCCAAAGACGCTCGCGGGGCCGCGCTGGAAGAGGGCGTGAAGCGCCCGCCCCGCTCATCCCTCTGTTTGCGCCCGCCGGCACGCAATGGAGCCGCTCCACGTGCCTGCGCAGCAGGAATGCCGTCCCGCCGGAGCGCCGCCCTCGCTCCCGAAGCGCCTCGTGGCCTCTCTCCGGCCATCCCGAGCCCGGGGGCAGCTGGAAACGCGCCCAGCGCTTGCACTCCATGACAGCAGCAAAATTTCCTGCTCGGAGCCGCGAGCGGGGCTGGGCGCTCTCCGGAAAGCCAAAGCCCCCTGATTTTTTGGCCGGCCCTCAACAAGCCCCGAGGCGGAGGGAGGCCGAAGTTGCCGCCTCTGAAGAGACTTCCAGTGTCCTCCAGTTGGGCGACAGGATGCGGAGTGGGAACCCGCCGCTTTTTGCTAATGATCATGGTCAAAGATGGGAAACGCGGTGTGTTTTGGAGCTGCTTGGTGCCRAATCCTTAAGAATCTGCGTGCTGTTTTCCTGCTTGTAAAATCRGAAAAGAGTTTTCAGAGTGATTTTTTTCTTTTTTTTTAAATAATCTTTTTTTTCTTTAGATCCAAGAGCTTTTTCCATAGGGCTCWCCATGCTTCCTCTTGCCAAATGGCCCTCGGGGAGCAGCCCGAGGTGACCGGGACACCTCCGCCACCCGAACCGCCTGAAACCTCTGGGAATTGTTCCCCTTCTGCTTTTGTTCTTTCCATAATCGTGAGTTTTGCGCCATGTGCTTCAACGCGGCCAAGGGCTGCGGGGCCCTTTCCCCTTCCCGGGGGTTTTTATGGATTGCTGGGGCCGTGGATACGCGGCCGGAGCCGGCCGGCGCTCCTCGGCACGGCTCTCCGGATCTCAGGGCGCTTCGTTTGCTGCTGCGGGGAAACGCACCTTGCTTTGAAGGATCACGATGTTCCCATTTCACCGTGTTTTTATTTTATTTCCCTCCCCTGTGTGACGAAGCGAATAAACGGGTGTAGCGAAACTCGTTTTTGTTCCTCTGCGTGTTTTTCCRCCCGGCTGCCTTGAGCACCTGGGAGCAGCGATGCAGGTTGGGCCCTCCTTGGGCCAAAAAACAAGGGGTTGTGCAAAGAAAAGGTTTAAAAAGCTCGTTTTGGAGCCGAGCACTTTGTGCCCGCGGCTTTGGAGGGGCTCAAGGGCTCAGTCGTGCAGATGCCAACGGAGTCCTAGCGTGACCGGCTAATCCCGCAGCTGGAACAAGCTGGGGCAGCTTTGGAGCGAAAAGCTCCTTTGAGAAGGTTCCAGCGCCTGTCATGAGCATCTTCATCCTGACAACCCGTTTCCTGTTAACCGGCTTGGCTCCCTTTTAAGCGCGGGAGCGAGTGAGATTATTGAAAAGCCGGCATTATCGCGGTGGCGGAGCTGCTCTTCCCGCGATCGCAGCCAGCGGCGGGGATTTGTCCCGACGCTCCAGGCGCTCCCTGCAGCCGTGGGGAGGCTCTCGGAGCAGGACGCAGCCCCGGGAGCCCCGCGGAGCCGCCGCAATTCCCTGMGCCGGCCCCTTTCCTCCACTTTTCCTTCTGTGAAAGGGAGAAATTCAATCCACCCGCTCGGCAGAGGGAGGGCTGCCCTTTCCCCCCGTTGGCGGCTTTCCGGGAATTCATTTTATTCCTTCCGAAGGCTCTCGCCCGCTGGGAGCGCGGAGAAGCTCCCGGGGCTCTTCCCTTTGYGAGGAGAGGGAGCAGGGATGGAGCCGCCACTTGGAGCAGGGGAGGAAAGGCCGAAGGAGCCCYGATGATCCCGGAGCTGCGCTGGGAATAGCGGCGGGAGCGGGAGCTTCTCCCGGAGCCTTCCCGGGCACCCGCGGACCCGGTGAGCGCCACAAAACGCGGCCGAGGTGCCCGGCGGGGCTGGAGCCTCTCCAAGCTCTGGGGAATGCGGATTCGCTTCCCTTCAAGCGCCTCGGGGCATTTCGAGGTCCCCGGGCGCTGCCAGCCTGGCAGCGTCGCCCGCAGGAGCCACTTTGGGCTCGGCCTTTTTATCGATTTGACTTTTGCGCCAATTCCGTTGTGTTTTTATCAATGCGCTTTTATCTGCTTTCGCCCTTAGCGCCTTGCACCCGCTCGCCGAAGAGACGGGAACGGAGGAGCATCCACGAAGGCACCCGGCACGCTCGGATCCGGCGGGAGCCGAGACACGGAGGAAAGGTCCGCAGCCCCGCGAGGCCGGAGCCGAACGTTCCCAAATGCCCATCCAGGGCTCCGGAGCGACGCTGCCAGCCGGCGGGATTCCGGAGGCCGTTCCCGACACCTCCGATAGCGAAGGGGAGCAGCAGYGTCTTGAGCAAACAGCTCCAGCTCGGGCTGATCTTTGTAACTGGGCWAAAGGATTTCCATGCTGGGCAGGGCCCCGGGCGGGGAAAGGCAGCGACTTTGCACCCACTGGGCAAATGTCCATGTCCTGGAGCCGCCACAGGTTAACTTAGGGACAAATCCCCATGGATTAGAGAGTTTGCRGGTCTGGAGGCTTTTTCCTGGGAGGAGATAGTGGGAATGAGCTCCTCCGGCTGCCCAGGGGCCGCTCCCCACCATTAGGTTAAATTGGGTACCGGAGGTCCGATTCCCTCTGGTGCAGTGGGACGGGGGGAGGATTTGTCCCGGGTAATGCTTGGATCTGCTTCCCGGGAGCAGCGGGATGAGCCGGAGAGGAAGAACCGGGGCGCCCCGTTCCGTCTTGAGCGGAGCCGCCTCCGCCCGGCCGCGTCGGGACACGGGGACCGGCCACGTCGGGACCATGGGACGGGGCCGGCGGCGGCTCCGGTGCTGGGGCCAGCGCCGCCTCCGCGCTCTTGGATGCAAGGGAAGGGCCGCTCGCTTCCCGGGAGATGTCTYGCCCTCTTGCCCAATGCTCGGGCCGGCGGTCGGAGGGAGAGACGGCGCCAGGCCGGCGCCCGGCTCGGGCAGAGGGCGAAGCCGGGCGCTGTTTCCCCAAGGAGCGGCACCGCGCGCGATAAGAGCCRGGACGAGCCCATCCCGCCTCCGCTCCCCTGACCGCAGAGTCGCTGTTTTCCTCCTTTTTAACCCAAAAAGGCCATCGAGCCTCTGGGGCTCCCGAAGCACCCCCGTTTGCAACGTTTCCTCCCCAAACTGCCACCACCCASCGGTGCCACCCCCAGCCGCCCCGTGCCGAGAGCCGTGCCCGCAGCCGCCGTGCTCCTCAC